TAATTCAAAATGTTTCGATGCAAAACAGAGCTGTTATAACGAAAAAAATACAAGTGTCCGAATAATTGTTTTGCTTGCAAAATCGAGTGCTTCTTAGAAAATCTTCTAAAACCTTATGAAAACTACGTTATGGAAAAATTATTTTCTATGGAATAGAAAGTAGAGATGATGACCTATCGAATGATGTAATCAGAGTTTAAAAAATATATTTCCTTCACTCAGAAATTCACTCAACAAATTCGTGTAGTAGAGTGTCCGAATAATTCTTTTACATACTATATATATCGTGCTTACGTATAGATTGTTTAAAGTGTGATAGAAATGTTTACACTTGCGATTATCTACTACATGACTCTGATATATTCTTTCGCAAACCGAATGAAAGCATCTGCAACGACAGATATGTTTCCACAAAAGATTCAGTTTACCGATGGAAAAGAGCGCATGGTAAAAGTTATGTTTCAATTATGAAATAAAACACTCACACTGTCAATTTTATAGTGGAGCACTTTGTCCTTGAATTTTTTTCTCTCACAATTTACACATGTGTTTCGCATGAAAGGTCTTCTCTTGCGTTTATAGAAGAACTGAGAGAAACATTCATGGCCAAGCAAAAAATCAGCGTCTCATAATAAAAAAATAAGCATGGAGAGTGTGCGTTTGCTTGGGTGTGTTTTTCTGCATCAAGAAAAATGTTTTTTCTTCAGTAACTTCGATGCAAGGGGGAAAAACTCATTCGGGCATTCCCAGCCATTCTTATCCATTCACAACCACTTCAATATATTCATATCCATTCCAATATATTCCTAGCTATTCTAACATTTTCTCAAATCGGAATGGACCATTTTTCTAGATGAAACTTTGAAGTAGTGTCACTTAACATGAAACTTCAGTTTTTCTTCTTCTTAACACTTCATACCTGTAATTTATTGCTAATTGATGATATTGAGCTTAATTAAAAATTGATATAAATGATCCACACCTACTTAGGGATGTGCGGTGTCAGTGACAACACCGAAAAAACTGTCACTTTTGTCACCGACAGTGACGCTCAGTGCACACTGATAGGTTCAGTACCACTGATCACTGAAATATTGAT